GTGTGTGTGTGTGTGAGAGAGAGAGAGAGAGAGAGGGAGAATGTATTTATTAACTTTAAAACATTATCTTCCACTTCATCTGACAATACCATCTATATTTTCAACAGACAGGTGAGAATTAGAGTAGTGGCAACGTCAGAGTACGCATACATTCATGGCGGTGATTTTGACTTGATTGCTACAGGATTGCCTCTTCGGATCTTTCCGGCACCAGGCAATCCCCCCACCCCGGCTCTTCCTGGCCTCTTAAATCTCCCACCTCTCTTCCACCCTGGAACTCAAGGTTGCTGGTTGGTCTCCCCTCCAGCCACTGTCCAGATCGAGCCCTGCTTAGCGCCAGCAAGCTGGCTGTCTCACATTGCTTCAGAATGTTTCCATGCCTCTAACATTGCACCAATATGTCAGGGAGTAAACGTAAGGATGTCACCCCACATACACCCCACGCACATCAACGTATATAAACACACGAACAAGTCTGGAGAACACTGGCCAGGTGGTCTCTGAGGCCAACAAACCTCTTCAGAGACCTGGTTAGCCCAGAACCCTTCTGTATGAATTAATATTTATCCCGGTATTTATTTTGGGATAGATCATCCAAGGGTCCGTGGAATCATGGAGCCCATATGGAGAAAAATTATCATGGACCATTAGCGGAAGACTCGCCAGTTTCTTGTGGTGGGTCACCTACTGTCTGCTGGGCTGGACTGAACAATATATAAGTATATCATGCTTTTCTTCCATCCAGGGAACCCAAAGTGGCTAATGGCCTGAGAATACAAATAGTCGGGACAACACGAAACCACTTCATAAAACATTATACGAACAGCATCAGCAGGTGGCAGAGACGATCTGTTCAAGATCCTCCCAGAAGCCAGCTGGAAGAGTCCGGCCTCCATCACCAGGGGCAGAATGCGAAGGTCACGTGGGCATCCCAGAACGTGGGAGTCAGAACCCAAACGGCCATGTTCCTTGTGCTCAGCAGGAGAGCCCTAAGTGGGACCCCGATGCAGAAGTGTTTATGGCACACTTCTCTTGCGTGGAATTCACGGCAGTAAACAGGAGGGATCCTACGGGAGCCCGTCCAGGAATGACTAGAACGAGGCATTTCTCCACGGTGCTTCCAGCACTGTGATACATGGCCAGTTCAGACCACATCCAAGTCGGACAGCTTTCCAGTGGCTCCTGCTTCACATGCTTACCTGGAATCAAATCCCACTAAACTTAGTGGGACTTCCTTCCAAAGAGATGTGCATAGGATTCATGGTTAGATCACAGTTTTATGCAGTCTTACCCAGACTGCTTCCTATGGCCCTTCTCTCTCCCTCTCCCTCTCCGGGAATTTTCCACCTACCCTTGCATGTTTGGAGGGATTTAACTTAAACTCGTATAAGCCCTGTGTGGGTCTCCTTCTGGCATTTATGCTCTATACAGGCAATACCGTTGGCTCCCAATTCACAATCAAAGCTTACATTTTGTAAACAGATGGAGCAGCGGAGACGGTGGGGCAACTGGATTTTTACAAGCTTCTCAGCCAGACATTTATGGCCCCAGCAATAAAATGCAACCAACTCTGTCCCTTTTCACTGCGCACCCCACCTCCCTCCTGCATCATCCTCGGTCTCTCCTTCCTCCACCCTTGAAAGAAAAGAATTCCGAGAGGGATTTAACTTGACACACAAAAGCAGGGCTTAGCTGGACCTGTTTCCAAAGCCTGTTTCCAGAGCATCTGAAGCAGTGAGGAAGACTCTCCTGAGCATGTGCAGAGTGTTTCCCCCTCTTGAACCATTATCAAGGCCATGGGGTCCCCAAGGGACACGTCTGGGAATGTGAACAGTTGCTGTGCCTGTCACGACAAGTGACCCCGTGGAGCATGTGTCTAGTTCCATCATGGCTACTGGCTAATCAAGTGGCGTCTGGGAGGTTGTTGCGGGGTGGGGAAGAGCGGAGGAACAGAGGGAGAGGAGAGCAGGAGGAGCTGCTTTCGGCCTACCAGGAACCCTAACTCCACGCAGACCTCTCACCTGGCTCTTTATTCTCCTACTCCCAAGCTCTGGCTTTGTTCTCTCTCTCCCTCTTGCTGTTTGCCTTGCTTTCTATTCCTGTGTGCTTCCAGTCGGGAAACAGGAAAAAGAAACTGGGCCCTCATGTTTTCCCATTTTAAACTGATTTTTTTTTCTTTTCCATCTTTCTTTCTTCTTTTTGAGGGGAACCAAGAATCAGAGTTCAACTTCAGAACGTATAATATTCACCCAGTTGAGTATTATATGCACCCAGTTCCTGAGCATATCCAGAGTGCCTTTCCCCCTCATCTAAGCAATGCATTTCATTTCAGAGCTGCTTTCACTCAGCCTCCAATATTAGCTACCTAGCAGGGCTGTTGCAGCAATTTCAACAGGACAATGCCTGTGAAATGCCACATATTCCCCCCAGAGGAGTGGCTGAAGCCGAAAAGCAAAATTGTGAGCCTTTAAAGTTCTTCAAGATGTTGCTTTTGCTATATATATTACGGCTGTCTTGCTTTGAATATGTTGATTGGTGCCTCATTCCTCACCTCCATGGAGCTACCGCTGTTCAAGAGAATATTCAAAAGGCTTCCCAGCCCTTCTCTCAAGACTCCTTATACCTGCTGGGCCAGAATTATTATCCCCATTATGCAGAATGGGAAAGGGCAGGCAGGGAGACAGCAACCCAAACCCCAACCCTTGTGAGTTCATGTCTGAAGGGCTGAAGCACCTGTCCCAACACCGGTGATTCCCAAGAAAGGCCGTACAGCCCGAATTTAAGCAAGCGACCTCGTTCCATGACCTTGCCTTGCTCCGAGGGCAGGGTCAAGTCTTAGTCATGGTTAGGCAGACCCCTTGCAATCAGCAAGGCTTCAGTTGGTCAACAGGACCGGTCACTTAAGTCCCACTGACTTCAAATGGTCTGCTCTCACTATGTGTACGTCTGAATCCGACCCAACGGACGCATATGAGTCAGGGTTGGGTTAGGGCCTCACAACCATTTGACCTCCGGCACAGCACCACTTGGTCCTGTGGATTTATTAGAGAGAACTGTGCTCTGGACATGGTCAGGAACACTTCGCTTGTTAACAAAGACTCAGCTATTCATGTATCGATTCATTTTTACACCGCCCAGCCCTCGGCCTTAATTCTGAGCACGAGGGCAGCATCGGCTTCATGTGACACAGCATGATGCCCTCCTGATATCTTAGGCGAGCACTCCTATCATCCTCAGTCGACAGCCCTGCTAACTAAGGCTGATGGGAGTTGTAGTCTGACACATCTAAAGGCCACCAGGTTGGGGAAGACTGGCACGGAGGTTAGGATGAGAGGCCTGGAGCCCAGTCCCCACTCAGCCACGCAGGGGCTTTAGGCCGATCCCCTTCTCCCTCCTCCTCCCCTTTCAGTCGTGCCTCCTTTGCAGGGTTACTGTGAGGATATAATGAGAACACTGCATAGTCCATCATCCCCCTGCGAGTAAGGGATAAATTCACTCTCTGGACCTAGAACCCTCCAGATGCTTGGGACCATCGCTCCCATCCGCCCTGGACAGCCTGGTGAATCAGTGGCGGCAGTGGGAGTTGTAGTCCAAAGCCAGATGAGGGGACTGCTGGCCTGGAGGGCTGCGTGTTGAAGCAGGACCAAAACTACCTTGCCACATCTTTAGGAGCAGCAACCATTGCGCCTATCGGGGGGGGGGGGGGGAGAGAGCCCCGCGGCTCGACGCGGGTGCCGAGAGTCTGAGCGAGGGCGAGCGCCCGGGAGCAGCGGGGCCGGCCTGGGAGAGAGAGGGCGGAAGGGGACCCCGCGGCTTTTCCTGAAGCCGTGCTGCGAGCGAGGGAGGAGGGGGGGGGGCTGCCTCTTGCCTTTCCCAGGCGCTCCGAAGTGATTGGAAAGTCACCGGCGCGGCGCGGCGCGGCGCGGCGGGGTCACCTTTTCGCACGCAAGGCGAGGGCTGGCCGGACGCCGGGCAGGTGGGGGCGCGGGCAGACCCGGGCTCCAGCGCAAAGCGCAGCCGCTGCGAACCCCGCGAGTTACTCTTCGGGAAGGGGGCGGAGGAGAACGGGGAGAGAAGGGGACGAGCGCGCGGGGGCGAGCGCGCGGGGCTCTTGCGCACGAGCCTCTCCCGCAACCAGATCACAGCCGGGGCCGGCGAGCGTCTCGCGCGGAGGGAGGAAAGGAAGGGGCGAGCTCGCTTTTCTCCCCCCCCCCCGCGCGCCGCCGCCAGCGGGAAAAGGGCCCCCTTCCTCCGCGAGCTCGGGGGAGCTCGCCCGCTCGCTCCGCGCAGTCGCCTCCCTCCCTCCCTCCTCCCCCGGCGCACCGCCTCCCCGCCGCACACGCACGCGGGCGGGCCCCCACCACCTCCCCCCAGCGCGCGGTCCCGAAGCGCCGCGAAACCCCACCTCTCGGGGGAAAGGGGCGGCGGCAGGCGGCGTCCGGGACGCAGATCGCGGGGAGCGGGGGCGAGAGGGAGCAGAGCGCCGGAGCGGAGCAGAGCGCAGGGCAGCGGAGCCGCACTTCGGGACCGGGCGACGCCGGCGGCCGCCGCAACTTTCTGAGCCGAGCGAGAGGAAAGTGGCCGTTCCCGGCTGCGATTGGGCTCGGAGGCGGAGGCGGAGCGCGCGTCGGCGGCGCACACCCGCTCGCAGGAGTTTGCAGACCCGAGCGCGGGAGCCCAGCAAGTCGAGCGCTCGCCCGGGCGGCGCAGCGGGGCGCGGATGGGGCGCGGGGCGGCGCGGGCGGCCCTCCTCCGCCCGGCGCCTCGGACCGCGGCGGCCGCGATGGACCTCGGCAGGAAGGGCTCCGCGGCGTGGGGCTGAAGCGCGCCGGGCTCTGCGGCTCGCGTCCGTCCCTGCCGGCGGCGCCCCGGGCGAGGGGCGGCGGCGATGGTGGCCGCGGGAAGGCGCCGGCGGCAGCCGCTCTGAGGCCCTCGCACCCCTCGGCGGCGCCGCTCCGGACCCCGCGCGGCGCGGCCGGCGGCGCCCGGGGCTCCCCGGCATGGGGGCCGCCCGCGGGAACTCGGGCCGGACCCTGGGCGTGCTGCTGCAGCTGCTGAGCTCCTGCTTCGGGATCAGCTCCATGGAGAGCGACCGGCCCGGGGACGGGCGCTGCCAGGCCATCGAGATCCCCATGTGCAAGGACATCGGGTACAACCTGACCCGCATGCCCAACCTGATGGGGCACGAGGACCAGCGCGAGGCCGCCATCCAGCTGCACGAGTTCGCCCCGCTGGTGGAGTACGGCTGCCACGGGCACCTGAAGTTCTTCCTGTGCTCGCTCTACGCGCCCATGTGCACCGAGCAGGTCTCCACGCCCATCCCGGCCTGCCGGGTGATGTGCGAGCAGGCCCGGCTGAAGTGCTCCCCCATCATGGAGCAGTTCACCTTCAAGTGGCCGGACTCCCTGGACTGCAGCAAGCTGCCCAACAAGAACGACCCCAACTACCTGTGCATGGAGGCCCCCAACAACGGCTCCGAGGAGCCGCCCCGGGGCTCCAGCATCCTGCCCCCCATGTTTCGGCCCCAGAGGCCGCAGGGGGCCGGCCCTGGCCACGACCTGCAGCAGCCGCAGCCGGACAGCCTGGGCCGGAACACCTGCGAGAACCCCAGCAAGTTCCACCACGTGGAGAAGAGCGCTTCCTGCGCCCCCCTCTGCACCCCCGGGGTGGACGTCTACTGGAGCCGGGACGACAAGCAGTTTGCCGTCGTCTGGATCGCAGTCTGGTCCTTCCTCTGCTTCTCCTCCAGCGCCTTCACGGTCCTTACCTTCCTGGTCGACCCACAGCGCTTCAAGTACCCCGAGAGACCGATCATTTTCCTGTCCATGTGCTACTGCGTCTACTCGGCGGGATACATCATCCGCCTCTTCTCAGGGGCCGAGAGCATCGCCTGCGACCGGGACAGCGGGCAGCTCTACGTCATCCAGGAGGGCCTGGAGAGCACCGGCTGCACCCTGGTCTTCCTCGTCCTCTACTACTTCGGCATGGCCAGCTCCCTGTGGTGGGTGATCTTGACTCTGACGTGGTTCCTCGCTGCCGGGAAGAAATGGGGCCACGAGGCCATCGAAGCCAACAGCAGCTACTTCCACTTGGCAGCGTGGGCCGTCCCGGCCGTGAAGACCATCATGATCCTGGTGATGCGGAGGGTGGCAGGGGACGAGCTGACGGGCTTATGCTATGTGGGAAGTATGGATGTGAATGCCTTGACCGGGTTCGTGTTGGTCCCTCTGGCTTCTTATCTTATCATTGGGACCTCGTTCATCCTCTCTGGCTTCGTGGCTCTTTTCCATATCAGGCGGGTGATGAAAACCGGTGGGGAAAACACGGACAAGCTGGAGAAGCTCATGGTCAGGATCGGGGTCTTCTCTGTCCTGTACACGGTGCCTGCCACTTGCGTCATCGCTTGCTACTTTTACGAGCGCCTGAACGTGGATTACTGGAAGCTCCTGGCCACGCAACGGAAGTGCAAGACGGGCGGCCAGAGCAAGCATTTGGACTGCACCATGAGCGACTCGATTCCAGCAGTGGAGATTTTCATGGTGAAAGTCTTCATGCTGCTGGTGGTGGGGATTACAAGCAGCATGTGGATCTGGACCTCCAAAACCCTCCAGTCCTGGCAAGGCGTTTGCAGTCAGAGACTCAAGAAGAGGACACGGAGAAAACCTGCCAGCGTGATCGCAAGTGGCGGACTTTGCAAAAAGCCCCAGCATCTGCCCAAAGTCCACCACACGAAGTATGAGTCGGCTTTGCAGCCTCCAACCTGTGTGTAAACAGAATGAATAATATTAATACCAATAACAGTAATAATAATTTTAAAACAACAGCAGCAACAACTGTGTGTAACCCACTTAGAGAGACTCACAAGTGCTCACAATAGCGCTTAGAACTAATGAAAATGGTCATTAATAAAACTGCTTTTTCATGTTCTTCTGTCAGAGGAACAAAATAGCCAATTAAGGGATTGGAATATTCACATATAAGGTCTACAGATAAAACGGAAGGCTCAAAAGGGTGGTGTTTTTTGTTTTTAGTGCACAGAATACTGATGATAACCCCTTTCTCCCCTGCCCAATTTGTTTTAAATGATTTCATTTCTTCTCTCACCCAGCCCTCCTGATTTAAAAGTGATATGTAATTATTTGTAGTGTGTGTGTGTGTGTGAATAATGGGGTTGCCTTTAGATTTCTTAAACAGGTAGAGGAAGAATTTATAGAGGATTTTTTAAAAACTTGAATGGAAATGATGTCCTTTTAGCAAACCAGCCTATGAGAGAAGGAGGGAGGGAGTGAAGGACAGGGCACTAAATTCAATCAGTCTGTCTTCTTTGAAAACAACGGCTGTTCTGACTTAAAGAACCCCCTTTACCCTGTGCTTCTCATCTTACCTGGAATCTCTGAAATTCGGTTCAATCGAAAAAGTTGCCCCTATTTTCTATTGCTTAAAAAGTCCTCCTTAAGAGACACAAACTAGATTTGGGAGGGGGGGCGGTGGAAGGGTGAAATGATGTGCAATGTAGGTTTAATCAACGCGGCCACTTCCCATACTCTTGCCAGGATAAGGAAGGGGGAAACAAGTGCTTTGCTGCACAGAAAGGCAACAAAAAGAGTCCTGCAACAAAAGCATGGAGGGGTCCTACCCTTTAGAAACACTTTAGTGTTGCATTTTGTGGCTTTTTAATGGAAATCAGACACGTTTGGACTGATTTGTGCAAAAGGGAAAAAGGGGGGTGGGATCTATTGAAAAGGATCCAAAGGGGCTTATTGACTCTTTCTATTGTCAAACAAATTCAGGCCATGAATAGATCAAGAAACACTGGATCCT